TCTTTGCCAGCTCCAAAGCTAAGAGAAGTACTTGAACAGAGAACATTTCTAACACCTACACCAGTAGGATACCGTATAGCCAGAAAATTTAATTGGCGGATTGGCGCTTCAAAACAAAAGGGCCAATATTATAACCGTCAATAATAATTGCAATCACCAGGTTGAGCTTCTGTCATTAGCACATGATACTAAAAGAAAATGCCAAAATGGCAGTACTTGTCACTATTTCAGTCAAGATTGTGGGAAGAAGTAGCCTCAACAAGAGCTGAGAGTGCTTAACGAAGTTAAGATAGTATATCGCCACATAAAAAACTGCCAATATTATATTTAGGCAATTTCGATGCAAAACTGCCAAAGTTCTAGACAGCCAAATTTTCTGGATATATGGTAGGTGCTGTTCTCACGTATCTCTGTAAACTATTAGAAATTTTGTCACCTATATTTTTCTAACTTGATGATTACTGACAAAATGAAATATTATTGTTAGCGTCAAAATATTGGGGCTATGCATAATTAATTTTATTTTATTAATATTTAACATTACTAATATTATTGCATACTACCATACCCTCTAGGTGTATTGTACACTGAGAAAGTACAGTATAGTACTACATACAGTATATTCTATACATACTGTAAGATCAAATTGCACAAGAGTTGCCATTAAGCATTTAATCATTGGCAGTAACGACTGATGGAGTAACTTTGGCTTAAAGAGAAACCTTAATTTTTCAATATAATTTTCCTATAATAGTCATTAAACTGTCCTTTTCTGCTTGCAAGAACCACCATAAAAAGAAAGAAAAGGCCTATAGAGTTGGGCAAAAATGAGGTAGCTATACCACGAGGCACTATAAGTATCATTATAATCATAGGGGTATATATTAAGGGCATAGAGTATGCATAATTTATCACCCGGTGATGCCTTTGATCTTATAGTAACTATAGCCACAGTATGTATGTGTTGTTATACTGACCTGATGAGGGCTTATAAAAATGTATTTCATTATTAAGCCTGCCACTATACTGGGCACCAGGTTGCTCAGGGGTATTATTAGATGGTCCCCATCCTCCAACTAATGCAAGATAGTCCTCACCGTTGACTTTTATTGCTATCATATCAGAGTAGGCCTTCATCCTAGGACCATGATGAGATGTAGTAGGAGAGAGTTCCTTCCAGTTGAAAGTATCAACATTAAAACTATACAAAAATTAATTATTATAATAAATTTTACTTATACAGTCTGGCCCCGCCTCTTCATTGCGCGGGGGGGTGGTGCAGAAGAGTCTGGTGACACTGCTACAGAATTTGTTGCAGAAAGGAATGCAACAATTAGTAGTTATTAAAGTTATTAAAACATTCTGTCACATGATAACTTTCTTTTTGAGGCTTTTCTTGACAAGTTAGCCTCCTTGAATGAGGAGAATGGCAGTAGTAAAAGGCAAGAAGAAATCTATCAAAGATCAGGTTATATGCGGGAGTGAAAACAGAAAATCTGTATACTTTTCAGCCAACGAGGATTCTTCATATTCTTCTGTTACTTCCTCTACAGTTACTTTCTGTTCCTTTGCTAGCATTTATCGTACCTACAGCAGGTTTGTCAGTCATACTTGCAGCCATTTTGAATAGGTCACGTGACAAAGTTACTTCCACGTGAGTGCAGCAACCTGATTGGGACGCTCAATCCTGTGCTTAGTGCCACAAATTCTGTAGCAGTGTCACTAAGCTCTTCTGTGCCACCCCTGTGCAACGAAGACTGAGGCGGGGCTAGACTATTATTTATCATAAACTATCATGCTTACCTGTATAAACTATTATGATGACAGTCTTCATGATGACACCATCCTCCAAAATAAAATATTTCATTTCCAATGGCAGCGGCTGCATAGCCAACAACACCCAGCGGAGGATTACCAGTGGTGGGTTTCTGCTCCCACTTACCAGTCGATAGGTGGCATACTTCCATGACAGAACACATAGATTTCTTCCTTTCATTATTATGTACATAAGGGAGATCAGCGGGCTGGTCACGGTTCCCACCCCACATATAGAGGTAGTCTCCTACCTGAACAGTGGAGTGTTCCCACCTTTTTGCTGGTTGATAGTCTACAGATAAGAAGAGGTAACAGTCACTGAGTGATACACTAATTGTGAGTGATCCTTTTCCGAACCTTTTCTAGCACCTTTAGCATCGCCTTTAGCTGCTGCCGCCACTCGAACTGCCATCATCATGAAACAACAAAGACAGACATAAGAGTGAGGTAACGCCCACCATACTGCTGACACTGCACTGCAGCTAGCTAGGCTAGCATCTCCGTATACTGTAACCAAACCGTTTGTCCAGGTACGTACGTAAACTTCAACCACGTGATAGAAATTTCTTATTTTTACTAGAAGAATGTAGAACATTAAAGGGGCGAGCCTAAGCAAGCGACATTGTCACAAGGAGCAGCAATATCAGCACTAGTACTAATGGATCAGTAAGAGAGAGAGAGGGAGGGACAAGACATAGAGGAGGAGTGACAGAATGAGAACACATTTACATGTATATACATGTACATTATCCATAGACTGTTGATGTGAAAAGTAACGAAATCGAGGACCTGAGAGAAGAGATGACAACTATCACTCAGAAACACAATGAAGAATGCAGAGGTACACTCAATACTC